TTTTTTTTGATACAGAGTCTCACTCTGTTGCCTGGACTACAGTGCTGTGGCGTCAACCTAGCTCACAGCAACCTCAAACTCCTGGGCTTAAGAGATTCTCCTGCCTCAGCCTCCCGAGTAGCTGGGACTACAGGAATACACCACCACGACCAGCTAATTTTTTCTACTTTTAGTAGAGACAGGGTCTCTCTCTTGTTCAGGCTGGTCTCAAACTCCTGAGCTCAAGCAATCCTCCCGCCTCGGCCTCCCAGAGTGCTAGGATTACAGGTGTGAGCCACCACACCCTCAAGAGCCAGATATTGGATGGCAGCACTGCTTTGTGTCCCACATCTGCTGATACAGATAGTGCGGTCTTTACACAGCCCCTTAATTATTTCCATCTACCATAACTTTGTTGTTGTATACAGCAGAGGACTGAGCCTAAGTCTCTGCAACAGTAACGATTGATCAAAGTGTTTCTACTAACTGTACAAAAATGCAGATCTGCCTCTCCTGCTGCAGAAACCCTGCATCACTAGAGAAGAAAAATTATTATCCACTCCAAAAAGAACCACAATGAATAGGCAGTGAGACTTAAAAACCTCAGCAAAGGGTTGAGAGGCTCTGTATCAAAAGATGCCTTCACCTTATCTGTGCCTCAACGGAGATTACAGAACTAAAGATACTACTAGGAATCTCCCACACATAATGATCAATTTTAAGAGTAGTGAAGAAACTAAAAAATCATGTGAGGTACCACCTTCACCAATAAATGTTAAATAATATTGATGCCATCCAAAGCTGTAAATTCCAGCTGCCAATGTAGAGGACAAAAGCAGCAAAGGAATCTGAGGTCTCTGCTGATTCAAAGGGTAAAGCTCAGATGCATTTAGGACAGTGGCTCTCAAAGTTATTCCAGGGTGCAGCCTTGAGGTCTCTGCAGAACAATATCAGTTTTGACATAGTCATTGAGGGAAAAGTCAATATATAATTTTGTGCTAGATACTATTTTGTGTATATTTAGTGTATATGCTAGATTCTGGGACACACAAGCAGAAACTAGAAATGAGACAATTATATCCAGTAACTTAAATTTTCTGGAGAATTGGGAACAGACCTTTTGGCAGTAGGCCACCTTGGTTCAAATGATCAATGGTAGCACAGTTTAAAAGCCACCACTCTAGATTAAGGTTTTTATTCTAAATTTCTGGGCTTATGGAGAAGAAAGCCTAATAGAAGATGCACACCTCTACAGAATACATTTCAAATAATGGGCAGAAAACAGAACCATCAAGAACAGGTTTTAGGCACAAAGAGCATCCTTAAACAAAACAACAGAATTATTTCCTTCCCCTAGTGGCCAAGAAAGTGGGTGGTTGATAAAAGAATGTAACAGAAAATACCCTGGTGAGACTATCAGCTCTACCACTTATGAATTTTGACTTTTAGTAAGTCATTTCACCTAAGTTTCAGTGTCCTCACCTATAAAAATGAGAAAATATTCGTCTTATATTATAGTATTGTTGTGAAGGTCAATCGAGATAATGTAGACAGCAGTGCTCTGAAAATTATTGACATGTTATACAAATACAGCCTATATCTGGACAAGTACTTTCTTTCAATGCAGCTGTGAACTATCAGTAAACCTATCCCCTCACCTACCCTTTTACTTACCTGATGATGAGCAAAACATGCCAGTGCTGAGAACCAAGAAGGCCAGCATCATTCGACTCACATGCAGCCCAAACTTCTTGCACACAGCCCTAGGAGAAAGGCAAAGACTGTCAGCACAGCAAATATTAGGGACACTTCAAAGGAGAAGAACATGCCTGCATCATAGATAGCACTGAAGATCTTATCTTGACAGGTGTTTTAGCAATTTTGTGTGCATAAGAAACCCAAACATTCTTATTCCTGCCATAGAAGAGATGCTTCCTATCTAAGAGGAAATATCTGCATGCTAAGATTATGTCTACAATCAATAGGAAAACAGCATGATGTAGTGAAAAATAATAGTCCTCAGATTCAGACGGGCACAGGTTCAAATTCTGGCTCTGCCATCTACTAGCAATGAGATACTAGTCTAGTCATGTAATCTGTCAGATTCCTCATCTGTAAAATGAGGATAATAACTAATACTTACTTTGTAAGGTTTCTGTGAGGACAATGCAAAGTGCCTGGCAACACAGTTGCTCAATAAATGGTAGTTGTCAGAAAAACAGACTAGAGGATTCATGAAAATGTTAGTAAGTTGTTATCTAAGTCAGTGTTTCTCAAATGTAAGCAATTATATATCTCCGACTTCTTTCTCATAGATTTTTTTAAACTCCACAATTTAAACATTTTTAGATATTATTGCCTCATTTAGTCAGTATTTATTCAGATATATCCATGTTAACCATTTCCTTGCTCAGATTCCTTGTTGCATCTCAGAATTTCTTTCTGAAATAATTTTACTTCTTCTTAAGTATATCTTTTAGAAGTTCCTTTAGTGAGAATCTGTTAATGGTAAAATTCTGTTTCTTTGGTTGCTTAGTTGGTTTCTTTTTCTCTCTCTCTTTTTTTTTTTAACTGAAAAGTCTGCATTTAGCTCTTGGTCTTAAAAGATGGTTTAACTGAGTATACAATTTTAGGATGACAGTAATTATCTCTCAGCACTTTGATGATATTCTTTTTTTGTCTTCTGGCTCTTGTGAAGTCTTCTAATTGCCTACCATTCCTTTGTAGGTATTCTGTTAGTTCTCCGTCAATTTTTAAGATCTTTTTCTTTGTCCCCGGTGTTATACATAGTTTTATTAATTTCCTTTTATGTATCTAGCTTGGAATATATTAGGCTTACTAAATCTATGGATTAGCATCCTCTTTCC